ATTGCAGAACCCGCACGACCTTTATCATGCTTGTGAGGACATCTTAAAAAGATGGTTTGGCGTGGAAACTGTTCAGCTGCCGGTGTGAACGCTTGTCCTTAATTCATCCCAATGTGCAGAGCAGACCGAGTGCAGAAAGAGCAAATGGTTTTTCCATGTGGAACCCCCTGAAGTTTATCCAGTGGATTTGGCTGGACTGCCAGGTCTATTTGAAGTTCTGCCCAGGAGAGAGACAATGATGGCTGTCCTCCGTGGGCTTCCTCTCAAGAAGTCACACACCTTGCTTTGGAACGTGCAGCTCTGCTTGTGCTCTCCCGCGGCTTGCTTACGCAGGCTGCTTCCTGAAAGAATCCTACGTACCCTTGGCATATTGACTAGCATATCACTGCAGAGGACTCGGGCCTTGAGATGGGGGGGGGAGGCGGGAGAGAAGCATTTTTGCTCTGCCTTTTGCACACAAAGCTGCATCCCTGTTGGCGCTGCTACCGTCCCATCAGCTGCTGAGAGCCTGGTTAAACCCTGTAGTCTTTGGACTCCTATCTACTGACCTAAAGTGAAATCCTAGGAACACTTTCCTGAGAGTAAGCCCCACTGAATAGACCTGAGTAGAGGTCTGAGTAACGCTGCCTTGGATGGCCCTATTAGTCTTGCTGCTTTTCAAGTCCCGGGTGGGAGGGACTTGAGGCTCCATGGAAGAGTGCACTGTGTGGGTGTGTATGGTTTCAGGTTTAAACTTCATGCCATGGATCTCTTTCCTCTTCCAGAATCCACTTTCTCATGAAACCTTTGGCTAAGCCCATTTAGCCTTCATCCCCAATTGGAATAAAGCCCAAGTTGGTGGTGTAGCATCTACCGACATTCATTCCTTGTTACCCTGGCTTCTTCCCTCCCCCCCCTCCATGCTCACTGCTAAAATTTGGATAGTAAATTCCTTGGGACAGGGACACCCCCCCCCCGCTGTTCCTTAAAGTGTCACAGATGGCCCTATCGATATACTAATGTCGATATAATAATATACTATTATTCATGTGTGGGGCTGTCATCTGCTGAAATTTAAATCTGCAGATCGGTGCCACACTGAGGCTATGCAGATCTTTGTTCAAACTTGGGGGACTCCCCAAGTTTGCAGAAGAGTTAGAAATAGAAAAAAAAATAAAGGGGGGTTTAAATCCCCCCAAAATAGAATTGTATTGTCTGCGCACGTGCAGAACAACACAGTTAGGGAGCCAGTTGAGTTCCGCATCGATGCTGGCAGCTGCTCTGAGACCAGTAGCACTGGACACTGGCAACCACTGTGGGCCTGGGCACGATGGAGGTTGCTGGTAGCTACTGCAGTTCCAGACATAGCAAAGAAGGATGCCAGCCGACACTCTGGGCCTGGGTGCTTTGGATGCCGGCAGCTTCTCTGGACCTGGGCAGTGGACTGAGTGGTAGGTAGCAGGGCTGGGAACCTTGCCAGCCTCAGCTATTGGGGGGGGGGTATGGGATTCCCCCCAGGAGTTTTGTGGGCCCACCTCCTGTCTGTACAGTAATAGCAACATGTGGTCCCTCCCCATCTGTGGATACTTAGGTCTGCGGATTGAGGCCACAACAATGCTAACAGATTTTCCTACAAATTTGGGGGTCTCTCCAAGTTTGCAGAAAAATCTGAAATCAAAAAATAAAATATATAGGGGGGGTTAAATCCCCACCAAAATACAATTGTGTTGTCTGTACATGCGCCGACAACACAGTTAAGGAGCCCCTCCAGCTCAGCAGTGAATGTCAGCAGCTGCTCCGGTCCAGGTGGGCCCGGGTGCTGACAGCTGCTGCAGGCCTGGGCACAGAGCAGTAGGACACTGGCAGCCACTTCAGGCCCAGTCACAGCAAAGGAGGACATCAGCAGCCACTCTGGGGGTGGTAGCAGATGTCAGCAGCTGCTGTGGGCTCAGTGATAGGTGGTGGGACTAGCATTTCCTGACCTACTAGTTTTCCACATGCAGGGAGTGTTGGATAAGTTCTCGCATGTATGCTCAGCACTGTGCAGTGTGTTTTGGGCAGTTCTAATTCCCATTTCTGTGGTTTCCCCATCTGATTACGTCGCTGAGTTTTCTGACTATGACTGGGAGGGAGGCAGGAAACTGTGCCGTTACCCATCTTTACTAGCTTCTTAGTTTGTTTACTGCTGAGAATAGAATATATATATTTTTGACCATAAAAATCACCTTATTTTTGTGTTACACTGTGCGTGGATTGCTGAATAATTGGTTCAGTGTGGGTCTTTAAGAACTGTAGTCATTGCAACATAGGCCGGGGTGGCAATGAGGTCAGAATGTGAATCACTGATACTTGTCCTTTTCCAGTTTAGGGTAGGATGGAGTGGTGAGAGGATTTTGTAAGCGGTCGTTTTTGTGGGAGATAATCCCCTTTCTCAAGGCTAGACAAGATTTCTTCACTAGCCTCTTCCTCAATATGAAGGTAGTATTAATTTACATTGCAGGGTTGTCAGAAGTGCCATTAGAAGTATACATGAAGTATTTTGAATCCTCAGAGCCTTACTTTCCTAACACCAAGAGAAACCAAAGGCCATACAGGCACCGCTTAACAGCTAGAGGTGGTTGTAATAGGAAGGGTGTTGGGTGTTACAAGTTAAAACACTTCAGTATTTACTGGGTTAATGATGTTTGTTAAGTCACATATTTGTTTGTAACCAATCTATTTAGATTATAGGATGCCCGGGAACTTTGGAGCTAGTTTGTTGCTCTGATTGGAAACCAAGGTGCCAAGTATTAGCATTTTATGGCTTCTCTTCCGTCTTTGTGTTTCTTTGTTCTGACCGAGAAGAAGACGCCATGCAATTCCAGTTTTACCTTTTAGCTGTAAGGATGTAGCCATTTTAGCTCTTTGTTATTTTATATCCTGTGTACCTTTTCCCATGCTAGGTTATAGTAAACTTTTATATTCTTTTAAACACACCATGGACTCAGTCTCTTTAATACTCTGCTGAATTTACTTTAAACAAGAATCCCAAAGGGTCATTTGGGGCTCCCAGCCATGCCCTGTTTCTTAGACTTCCCAGTAGCTTACAGCAAGAGCTCCTCCTTGTGTCCCTGGTGTCCTGAATGCATGGTGTTGAAATTTCCCTCTCCCCTTGTTGGCTGCCAGTTTTCCTGGCCCCTTTAATCAGTGGTAATGTGATTATGTGGATTTCTGCCTGCAGCCTCTCCGTGCTTCTCCCATCTAGTACCATTCTAAAGATATGAGGGGACGCTAAAGTTCTGAGAACTGGATTGCCAAGGGCGGTTGGGGACCTTTCAGCTGTTGGTTAATTCTTTGCACTAATGCAATTGTAGGGCTCTCTTCTCACTAAAATGTACAGAACTGTCTTTTAGGCAATTGGGGAGGGAACAAAACCTTTTGCTCGCTTGATTCTTGAGTTGATGCAATTTAAAATGAGCCATGGGCACAATTAAACCCTGCGGCTGCACAGTTAACCTTATTTATTGTTGTGTTGGAGATATCTGCAGCTTCCCATCACCAATTTGATTAAAATGAGGTCCTTCTTGTCACATCACCAATTGACTGGGCTTCTGTTCAGTCTCTTTCATGGTCAGGATGTCTCCAGCAGCCTTTGTAGAAAATTACAGAAAGGTTGCCTGCCTGCCCTGATGTCCTTGGCTACCATCACCAGCCTTCCTGCATCTCTTCCCTCCTTCCCTGCCTCCAAGGACTATAACTGACTGCTGCATCTAGCCCTTAACAACTGAGAGGCAGCCTGTATAGCTTTATCCTGATTTTCCCAGCTCTAGAAAAGAACTGTGTACCATTCAGTGAGCTCCATGTGCTGTTTTTCCAGGTGTTTAAAGGCGTGAGGAACAGCAGAGATGGCCACCATATCATTGCAATGCCCCTTTACTCCTGTTGTGATCAAGGAGCATGGGACAACCTGGGCTTCCTCTCCCACGTCTAAAGGACCTTAGATAGCCCTACAGGATGCTGCAGCAACAAGGGTGTGGGCAGGGAAGCAGTAAATGCTGAAGACTTCTAACAGGAGGGGTCTATATGCACAGAAGGACAGCTGTGAGCAGATCAAAGGCAAGGTTGCAGGGTCACTGGATATCTTGTTCAGCATCTTCCTCTAGCTTCTGAGAGTTCACTGGAGAGATCAACATTATTCCAAGGTAGCCAGGCAAGAGGAACATACGCCACATGTGCATCATGCATGCTATTTGTGGTCTGCAGGTTGCAGTAATAATCATTTCTGTAGGATAAAAGTGTGAGTAGAGAACTTCTTAGGGTAGTAGTAATCTCTCTTTCTGTTTCCTCCAGGTGTTCTCAGCTTTTATCTCATAGCTTCTGGCTGAACAGGAATTTTAGTTATTAGGTCAGAGGGACCCATATACAGAACACTCTAGGCTAGTGTTCAGTGTTTGGACATCAGCACAGTGGATTTCTAGGGCATAGCTTGATCTGTGAGCCCCCTAATCCATACACATTAATACAGATGAGGTGATTGGTTGAAGCTTAGAGATGATTGCCCAGAGTTCAGTAGTCACATTTGTCCCCCCTTCCTCAACACTTAGCTGTAGGTCACAGTTTCCTGGCTTAGAGTCCTCCTGCTTCCTAAAAAAGAGTGGTTACAAAAGTCTAGTGTATTTTTCTGTCTCTTAAATATCTAGTAGAATTTTTTTTTTCAGAGGCCCTGTAAGTGATAATGACTCTTCTTCGGTCTACATTCTTTTCTTTTCTTTTCAGTACAACCACTGTAGCTTCTCTATATGCTTCTACAAACCACTGGTATTTATGTAACCTTCCAAGCTGAGTTGCTTACTCTTGTCTGGAAACTTGGCTTTTATTTTAAAATGAAAATCAAATGTTGCTCTGTGTTGTGACAGATGCTCAGAATATGCATGGTCTTGATCTAAGGGCAAAGGAGCCTTCAGGTTCTTAAAGCTGCTTTTTCAGGAGCTGCTCAAATTCTCTATGTTTCTCTTCCTAATGGCTACTGTTGTTTCTTCCAGGCTCCCTTAACATCATCTGTGGTACTTCAGGAGCCAGGATGCAACACGAACATAATCATATGGTGCACTTGGACCATCAGATGAATGGCTCGGCAACAAGCACCCCTGATCCTCATGCGCACCATCACACAGTGTCATCGTCAGAGCACTCAAATCATGGTGGAGGAATGATGATGGTGAGTAGAACAACCCTCTGCCTGATGCATCTTTTGCACTAAAAGACTCTTGGGAGGCAGTCAGCAGAGGTACATGCAGGAGCCGTTGAAAGTCTTGGCACTGCCCCTTCCTATGTGCTTCCATCTGCTTTTCTGACCAGCAGAACTCATATCCCACTGGATCTTTCTTGCTCACAGATGCTTTCCAAAGTTTCCAGTTTTCCGATTCGAAAAATGGGAGGGAGGAGTCTTGGGGGGAATAGAGAGGAAAAAAACATTTTTCCAGAGTTTTTTGGTGAGCCTTCACTTCTGCACTTTTAAGAAAGAACCCGCATGCTAATAGTTCTTTGGTTTTAGCTACAACTGAGTGCTTGTGCTTAGAAAATATGAAGGTTTTACTGTTTGTTGATACCAACATTATTATGAAGCCTGATCACTTATGAAATGGCCAGTTTGTGCAACCAAGTACATTCCGGCCCTCATACCATTATCTAGAGAATAGAATTGGCCCTAGCAGTGAGAGGGGCATGGATGTGTGTCTTAAATGTGTTTATTATCCTAGTGTATGCATTTGCACCCCCCTGCTCCAGCCTAAAGTGGAAATAAGGGGTTTGTCTAGCGGTTTTGTTTAGCATCAGAAGCACTATAACCCAGAAACATTTCTCATAGCTTCAGACCAGCGATGCAGTTGAGACCCTGTCTCTCCCATGAGTTGAAAGAGGATCAGAGTCACAGGGTGTAGGCCAGTCCAAAATTGTAGAGAAGAGATGTTGGCCATCCTTATTTCAGATACATCATTTTGGTGCAGCTATGGAAATGTCCTCTGCCCTGTTCACACATGCATACACATACTACATTTGGTTTCTACTTAAGGCTGATCAAGTGGAAGAAAATCAGGGTGGGGAGTAATCACTGTAGTTCTTAAGTCAGTAAATTTGCATAGGCCCAGAGACTGCAGTCCCAGCTCCTCTCATTTGAAGCTATGGTGTCAAAAGCCCTTACCGTTTGCAAGGCTTTGTGTCAGGGCATTAAGTTGGCTCTCTGTCTTTTCTGCAGGAAATGACCTTCCACTTTAGCTATAAGAATGTGCCTCTCCTGTTTTCTGGGCTTGTCATCAACACAGCTGGAGGTGAGTGAATTGGCCTGCATGATGGTGGCCCTTTTCGTGCTGCTGAGAGAGGTCAAAATAACCAGGTGGCCTCAACTGAAATCTTGTAAATTGCCCTTCTTTCCTGGTGTAACTCTGATACAACACTGGCTTTCAGACTTCAGGGAATCCTTTCCATGGTGACTTGGGTACAGAGGAGCCCATAAACCTCTGCCATGGAACTCCAGTGTTACATGGAGGATATTGGAGTGTGTTCTAGGGAGCATGCTTTGGTTGTGTGGAATCCAGGCAGAGCCCATAGGAGCCTCACTTGAACTGAGAATGCATCTAAGGAAACATCCAAATCTCCTGTATGGCTGGGCATTGAAGGAAAAGATGTCCAGTTATCCTGGGCAACAGGTGTCTGGCAAGACCCTTCTGTGCCCAAGTCCTTAGAGAGCTGCTGCCAGGCAGAGCAGACCAAACTGAGCTAGACAGATCAAGAGTCTGGTTCAAAGTAAGGAAGCTTCTTATAGTCTTCAGCAAAAGATGCTGCAGGGAGAGCACAGCCAGATAGAACCTGGGGATGCAAAGCTGGAGCTCCTTAATATTTCAACTCTGCAGCTTCAGACCTTAACTGGGATCAGGGTGATTGGGTTGTTGCAAGCATCCCACATGACGTTAGGCAGTTTGCACACCATTCTTCAGAACTGGGTGTGTCTGGGCCCTATCAGCCTCCTTCTCGGGTCCTGTTGATGCCTGGTAACCAGAACTTTAACTTTGAATTATCCCTGTATTATATATGAGCCCTTCGGATCTATTATTTTCTCTGATCTCATCCTTATCAAAATCTTCTTCCCCTGCCTCATCCTCCCAGGTCCCTGTGTATGTGTGCGCATGTAACACACATACCTCTAATATTTTTCTGTCCACTTGATACATCTGACAAAGTAGGCAGTTGTCTACAAAAACTGAGGCTGCTATAAATGTGCCACAAGGTGCCTCAAGATTTTCTTTCAGGAGGTTATTGATGTTTTAATGTCTGCTTCTATATTTGAAATACATAATACATTTGGTAATGCAACTGATCTTACCTGTTGTACGTAACAGCTCATAATATTTGACAAACCTGATTAATTTATATTTTCCCCTCACCCCCTTTTCCCTTCTGTAGCCCACCTTTTTTCTGAGAAAATAATAAAGTTATTAATTAAAAAAAAAAATTCTTTCAGGAGGAAAGATGCTGACTATAGCTACTACTCAGTCACTCAGCCCTCCTTGTAAATCATAACAAAGGCCAGGCTGGCCAGTGCTGCTTGTTAAGTCTGGCCATCTGGTAACTGACAAACACAAAAGGACCTCCCAGTATCAAAAGTACCAACAACAAGGAATAAACTGGGTAAGTCACTAACAATTGCAAAATGAATCTATTATATAGTATCTGTAAATATTACACACTGAAAACTGTACAATACAAATCTACAAAGATAAATACAATATAGTGCAGTTAGGCATCCTGACCTTTGAAGTTTGTTGGTATTCAGTTATGCCCGATATAAGAACTGTAAACTTTGTGGAATACAAGACCTAGTCCTAGTATAAAACGCATAGCAACCTAGGAAGGATTGGTACAACTACAGAAAATTATCATACAACACATGCAAAATATTACTTCTGATGAAGTCTACTTGCGAAACGAAGTTGAAGCCGGACTCTTCGTTAACATCTTTGAACTAATTGCACTATATTGTATTAATCTTTGTAGATTTGTATTGTACAGTTTGCAGTGTGTAATATTTACAGATACTATATAATATTCATTTTGCAGTTTTTAGCAACTTCCCCAGTTTATTCCTTGTTGTTGGTACATCTGGTAACTGAGACACTCGGGCTTTAAAAGCAAGAAAAATATGGTGGGACGCTGTTGTGCTCCCTTTTCAAATAATGCGGAATGGGGTGCTGGGTTCCATGTTTCTGAGTGATCATTGTGGCCAACTGGACCCTAATATCCATGCTCAGATTTATGGTGCTTTGCCTGGTAGACCTGGATGCCACTATCTTCACAAGAGGACAGATGGAGTTGTTGACTTCCCTCCCTTTCCATGCTAGAAATGGCTGGTGCATTTGTGGCTGTCTTCTTCCTCGCCATGTTCTATGAGGGCCTGAAGATCGCCCGAGAGAGCCTCCTTCGGAAGTCACAAGTCAGCATCCGCTACAACTCCATGCCTGTCCCAGGACCAAATGGTACCGTCTTGATGGAGACGCACAAAACAGTTGGGTGAGAAACATTGCTGTCTTTGATAGATATTGATTGGATTCTCACACACAAATGAAAGAGGTGGTAGAATGGACTGGTATCACTTCAAACTGCAGATGGAGGATCGCATTTTGGAATGTTCCCTTTGGTTATAATTTCCTTGCAGACAGAAAATGAATACAGCAAGTAAAGAGGAGACAGAGCCTCTCTGTACTGTGCTAGGGAGCCTTTTTATGTGAAGGAAATACATATAGAATACTATTAACAAATGCCGAGCAGTAGACAGAAATATAATCATAACAGGGCAATAAGTATATTAACATGACATATTGAATAATGGATATAACTGATAAGCTCCTGGGCTCTTGAATCATTCCATACTCCAGATAGCCATGCTCAATGATTAGTTATTCATCTTTGTGAATAGAGTAATAGTAACATATTCATTATGCAGCATGCAGTCAAACTGGTCTCCAAGAATTCTTTGGTTTTATTAATAAGTTAACGTGTACGAAATGACTGCCCGGGGAAATTGTCAGTAATATTCTTTGATCCATATTACATGCTTTACATTATACTTATTGTTCTGTCATGATTACATTTACACTGTTCAGCATATTCATAGTTATTTCCCAGCATATGTTAATATTCTATATGTATTTCTGCGATCATTTACATTGTCACATTGCTTATTTTTTAATATAGTCTGTTGATTTTACTTAGATCCTTTCCTCTGTGGTTGTTTCACAAGCCCCAATGAAAGTTAAATCCATTGACAATAGAGGTCCTGTATCTGAGCCATGGAGGGTGGGACTGGGAATCCAACTCCCGACCCTTGGTGTGGCAGTTCTGGTGCCAGTGCCAATGCTGAGAAGCTTGGGAGTGACCCTGGATGCCTCACTTTCAGTGGAGGCTCAGGTCACGAACACTGCCAGATTGGCCTTTCATCATCTTTGGCTGGTCGGGCAGCTGGTTCCCTATCTCTCCTCCTGTGACTTGGCTACAGTGATCCACGCAATGGTCATCTCCAGACTGAATTATTACTGTAATTTGCTCTATGTGGGGTTGCCCTTGAATTTGAATCTGACCCGGAAACTCCAGATGGTGTAAAATGCAGTGGCACACTTCCTGTCTGGGACGTCTGTGCGGGTGCCCATACAGCCAGTGTTTCACCAGCTGCATTGGTTGCCAATTGAATACCAGATCAGATTCAAGGTTTTAGTATTAACCTTTAAGGCCGTATGCGGTCAGGTACCAGCATATCTGCTTCCCTCACATCTTCCAGACGGTGCTACACATAATTTTGTTCTTTTATTAAATGCTTCTTTGATCGTACTGCTGTTTTCTTGATCCTGTTTCTGCCTTTAATCACGGAAAACTTCTTTCTGCCCCCTCACTGGCCCCCTTTTCTGATTCCACAGGCAACAGATGCTGAGCGTCCCTCACATCTTCCAGACGGTGCTACACATAATCCAAGTGGTGGTCAGCTACTTCCTCATGCTCATCTTCATGACCTACAATGCCTACCTTTGCATTGCCGTGGCAGCAGGTGCGGGCACAGGCTACTTCTTCTTCAGCTGGAAAAAGGCGGTAGTGGTGGATATCACAGAGCATTGCCATTAACGCTGGCAGTGGGCCTGAGCCTCTCCCTGTAACCTCTGGAAGGACAAGGATTACCCCCAAGCTTACTGGAAGCCATGCCAAGAAAATCTGTGGGATGCTCTCTTAATTACTTCCTGGGAGTGTGACTGACACACACACCCCCCGGCCATGCCTCTTGCGTCCCACTCCTCCCTGAGGAAGCGGCTTCCTGCTGCTGGGAAGGGCGCCACCAGAGGAGTGGTTTACTGGGGATAGTTGGCTTATATAATAGATACAATTAGTGTTTTTTTGATTTTTATTTTTTAGAATCTACCATGATTGAATTAGCTAGCAGGCTAACATAGAAAATAATTAGTTCTACGTTATTTTATAATACTTCAAGCAAATATATGCTTGGATTGCCAAAAGCGGGGGGGGGGGGCTTTTTGAGGGGTCTTACCTGCTATTGATGGGAGCCATAAAGCTGCTGCCATCTTAATACAAGTACCTCCTTGGGGTTACACAGCAGAGACCTCTGCTATCCAGTGTAAGTCGCTCCTGATCATTTGTTTGCTCTAGGGCAAAGGTTAGCTTTCTGTGTGTTCCCCTCCCCCATGGTGATGCTGGCATGGTGCAGCCCTAGATACCGTCAGGCTGTCTCTGATGCAGCAGAGTCCTAATGGCAGCTTTTCCCAAACAGCCTTGGGCTCTACATATCACCTGTGTGTTGTTCTGCGGTCAGCGTGACATTTGCTGGCCAGCAGGGTCCAACTGCTTCTGAAATGTATAAATCCACAATTTTTTTTTTTTTTTTAAATAAACCCTATTTTAAATAAATGTGTGGAACAAGCACTGACTTTGTTCTGGTTCGCAGGCAGGAAGAGAGCACTTTTTTGTTTCTAATGTAAGGGAGTCTATTATTTACATCCATGACTAGATCTACCTCATGTAAGATTGGGGTTAAACAGCCTTGTGCTATATCTGCAGTTACAATTGGGGGGGTCCCCCTTATATTGGTACATTCTTGTGGCCGTTTTCTTTGTCTTCAGCCTGCATGGGCAGAGAGCAGCAACACAGGATTCATGCACAAATAAGACCTCCAGCCTTAGAAGCAGATCCATTTTATAGGCCTTGGTTTACAGTTTTAGACAGAAAACTTGCAGGAAACTGTTTCTTGAATTGCACCATGATTGGGGGAACATAGTGTGTAGTTAGCTTCCCTCTTTTATAAGGCTGTTAGTTTCCGGGGGTCAAAGCCCTGAAAATGAACCTTAATGAACTACCCCAGATGAGCTGCAGACTTCAGCAGCTATTTCCAGTGTGTTCTCGAACGTGACCTGTAAAAAACCATTAGGTACAGATCTGTCTTTGGACGTTTCTTTCAGGGCATCTTAGATTACCTGCACAGTGATTAAAGAGAGATGAGAATGCTAATGTATTTTGTACACTGTAGAAATGACAAATCATCCCTAAAAGTTCTTGTCTTTGTGGAGGTGAGCGTTTTTCCTCTAAGCTGCATGAGAAAATATCATTCCACCCCACCCTCAGGTTCCTCAAAAGTTATGGTAAGCAGTAGAGCTGAGTTGGCAACTACAGATTTTTAGTTTCTTGCTGCTAAATTGTGTTATGGTGCTGCGTAATTGTATGGTATGTCAAAGTCCAGTCTTACCTATCTAAAGTTTAAGTAACCTGATCTTTTTATATCCAAATACTAATTGAGATCTCTGGTGGCTGATGGTACACAGATTCTCAAGAAAGGCTGCAGGGCTCTGCTGGTGCTATTCAGGCTCAATCAACCCACACTACAAGGAACATAAATACAGAAACACATTCTTCCCATCCCTGTAATTTGATACAGGGGCTAGACTCATAGCAAGGAGAAAAGAGGGCACTGACTGTTCTATGCCTTTTCTCAAATTTTTCTTCTGCAAATGGTAAAAAGAGTTGGCTTGGAGCAAAGCCTACACATCCAGCTAGTGCAAACAGAGATTGTGGCAGCAATTGAATGTTCTGACTTAGCACCTTCTATGCTAGGTGTTTTCAAGGTGCTGCTTTAATCTCTGGTGGCTTAAGTGAAAAGCATTCTGAATTGGACCTGGTAGATTCCTGGCACTGGTTTGATGCCCCTCTGCTTCAGAAACCCCTGGCTCTGAATGAGTTAAGCTTTGCCTACATCCATAGCAAAAATGTAAGTGAGAAAACATGGGGGGGGAAGGCAGTTTCCCTTCATTCTAATAAAGATTTTATTTGAAGGGGCATGGGAGAGAATGATTACTTGCCTCAGCAAGGAGTTGTCAAACAGCACAGAAATGAAGTAGCAACATGCAGAAACTGAACAGGGCTTGGATTGCCACTTGTTTCTCCTGCGTTACAAGGTGTGCAGCTAGCAATTATTCAAAGGGGTACAGGCAAGATCAGCTCTACCATAAGGAGAATCAGGATGGGGTGTGTGTGCAAAATTTCCAGGGGCAAGTGCATCAGCTATGTAAATTTCTTAAGAGAGCAGAGCCAGCATCTGCACTCCTGGATAGATGTCCTGTGAACACCTGGGTTGATTTTCTCTGCCTTCCAGGAAGGACTAGTAAGAGCCTTCTGATCTTTGCTGGCTGCCTAGGGCATAGCTGTGACAGGCATTTGTAGAGGACTGTGTTTCTTTAGGCTGTGGCTCATGGCCGCTTTTGCCGCAATACATTCCTTAGTCTAAAGGTTTCAAAAGATTCTCATTTATTTAGTATGATAATTATTTGCTCAGTATGTAAAACAATTATATTACTTGGCCTTGAGCAACATAAAAACCTTCAGCTGGGTGTGGGTACAGGAAAATAATGTGCTTGACAATGTTTTGATCTGAATGCTCATTATCAGGTTAGGACCAAAAAAGCACTGTAAACATCCCTTTCCTCTGCAAGGAAGGAATTTCAGCTTGAAATGCAGTGTGACTGTGCAGTAGTTTCCTAAACCAATTTGAATTGTTTGGTGCATCTTGATTTGATCTTGTCACCCACTTCAACCCCTCGGCCAAACAGGTTTGAGCAGCAGGCTCTGCTCATGCTGCTTCCTCCTCCCACCATATACAGACAAGGTAAAGAGTGGAACACAGATGGCTTCTGGCTGCCTTACAGCAGCTTATAAACTAGCCTTGTACAAAGCCTCTCGCTTAGGGTTGAGTGAGGATTGTTTGCATGCCGCCTGGAAGAAAAGCCTTTGTAAACTGGGAAAGATTGCTTTCAGACCCTCAATGTGGTACAAATGAGTGACAGTGGTAAATATGGGAAGAGTACCTGAGAAGGTACACTAGCCTATTACAATCTTGCTACAGAATACCTGCAGTCAAGCAGAGTTTTATCTATAACATGTCATGAGGTAAATCAGCCATACCTCTGCCACTCTGTGGCATGAGGCGCCTTCTGAAACACTACACCCACCCTGACCTGGATAGCCCAGGCAAGCCTGATCTCGTCAGATCTCAGAAGCGAAGCAGGGCTGAACCTGGCTAGTACTTCGAAGGGTGTCCTCCAAGGAATGGTAGGGCAGGGACTCCACTTCTCTGAAGCATCCTAGCTCTACTAGGAGTTGCCAGAAGTCACCATGGCTTCCAGGCTTGCAAGCACATACACACACAAAATACTTACCAAAAAAAGAAACACAGAATCCAACTGGCTCTACTGGAGGATACACAAGTTTATCAGCTTGTAACCCCATGGCAATCTGTTACCTAATAGCTGACAGGTAGTAACTGAACCAGTCAAGGCAGAACGTGGGCTTTCAGGCCCTCAAGCAGCTGTCTCTTTACAGGTGTATACAAAGGGAATACATCTTAGGATTCGCTGGGTACTGAGAAAATCTGTCCTCCTGCTGTCCTCATCAGTCCATATGTGTCTTGTGTATGATGCTGGAAGCAATGTAATGCTGTATTCGCCTAGCCGATCCTAGTTCATGCAGGATCAGGTTGCTGCTGTAGGCAAATGTGTCCAAGTAACAAATGGTGCCTTTTCCAACACATGCCACATTTGGTGTGTATTATCAAATCCACGGTCTAGAGACTGCCCATCTCATCTTAATGTATAAATGTTGTATCAGTCTGTATGTCATTAATAAAGCAGAATATATCTTCTAGTGGTGGATGTGTGAAATGTGTTGAAGCCATCCTAAATTGCAGAAAGCAGCTGCATTTGATACATGATCAAACATGAGAAGTTTGGGGTCTAGTATTTGTTACAAGCCCACCTAATCCACTTCACAGTGGCAAATGTGTCCCTTCTCCAGGTGTACATGCAACAGGCTACCATAGGTCATTTAGAGTTGAGTAATGGTATGATGCAGCTAAAACACGTCCTAGGTATACACGTCCATGTTATCTCCCTTCAGACACATGGGCCACATTCAAAAAGTTTAACATATAATTTGTGTGTCCTGATTTATGAAAAAGCAAAGCAATAAGAGTATACCAACTTTACAGCTGGCACACCAGTCAGTTGACCAATTAGATATTGTCAATTGGCAGCCTGTTATTTCACTGCAATCCAATTTCAGGAAGCCAAAAAAAGCCTGTGCAGGTAGTAGCTTCCCTTTTGTATTTTATTATGTGATACCTTTTGTTAGCAATGGCCAGGAGGGAGAGAGGGCCTTTTGTTTCTTGAACACACATGAAGCTGCCATATGCTGAACTAGACCATTGGTCCATTAAAATCAATACTGTCTACTCCAACTGGCAGCAGCTCTCCAGGGTCTCAGGTTGAGGTCTTTTAGTTGGAAGTGCAGGGGACTGAACCTGGCACCTTCTGCATAACAAATCAGAGGTTCTTCCACCACAGCCTCTCCCTGCTTTTATCATACAACACCCGGCTCAAGACAATAAACAACTGTTCAATGAACCTTCCACTTACAATAACCTTGTCTACTTTTTAAAAACCCTGTAACAAATAGTTAATTTTCATTGTTTGATTAGATACTTATTTTTCCAAGTAGCATATCGAATTTCATTTTGTTTTTTTGCAAAATTAATACTTTAAAAATACTGGATGAGTCAACTGACCCAAACTGCTGTTTGACTGGCCAAATGGCCAACCTTAAATGGCTTCTTTAAAAATGAGACTCTGCCATGGTTGGCCAATGACCACAAATGCTTATGCACAGGCACTGCTAGCCTCTTTATCACACCACCATAAAGTAATCAGTCTCTTATGCCACATGCAGGAAAATTAAATCAGCAGCAGCTTTAAGTGGGGGGGGGGGATCATCTTACTACTGGTTGGTAATAGAAATCATAATGCATTTAGGATCCTGATGAGAAGCCACCTCCAAAGAGTTAACTAATATCTATCTTACTCCAATGGTGTAGTGTTTGGCCTCTAACTGGCCTATAACAGGATAAAACAACTTGCCCATGACAATCATATCAAGGTTTTGCAGAGGTAGGGACTTTTTGTTTGAGGTTGGGTGGGTCTGCATATGCAGCTGGTTTTGTAATAATACTACTGTTAAATGCTAGCTCATTTTTAAAAAAAAAGTCCCAGTAGTGGCATAACTTATCTCTAGATATTCAGGTATACTCTGAATAAACAGTTACATTATATATTACTATTCATGTGCATTTGGGTAGTGCGCGGTGTTCCCTCTAAGCTGAGTTAGTGTGAGATAGCTCACAGTTTTTTAGCCTCCAGCTCACACATTTTTGTCTTAGCTCAGGAAGGATGGCTCCAGAGCAAACTAATCTATGCAGTAGCCAAAATGCTTGCTCACAACTTTAATACCAGCAGCTCACAAAGTAGAGTTTTTGTTCACAAGATTCCACAGTTTAGAGGGAGCCTGCCCAGGGCATACAGCAGTCATGTGGCTCTCTCGGTTGATGGGAACTGCCAATGTGGCTCTTCAGTACCAATGATCTAGCCCATTATTGTTTATAACTGCTAATATTTCTTGAGCATCCCTCATAGCAGAGATACATTTTAAATGGGGACTGACTCAGTAACCTTCTGTATGCAAAGCATGTGCTCTACCACTAAGCCACAACCCCTCACTTTGGCAGAGCCCATAATGCTACCACCCCCAACTCAGTGCAAAAAGGCTTTCCATTCTACTTCTGTTACCAGTATACCACCACTTAAAAAGCACACATTTATTTAAAACACAGTAATTAAGGTTGCAAGATAGCTTCAAATAAAGAGAATCCAGTCTTAGTTTCACATAAGAAAAAGGCTTCCCCCTGGTTGGACAAATCCCAGAGACGACAAGCCAAATCAGCCTTTCATAACCACGGATGGATTCCTACTTTGCACAAAGTTCCCATTTTCTAAAATTCAAAATTTCCAAACTGAGCAGAACGATTATTTGGTTTGGGTTGTGGTTTGTAACCAATGCGGTCATGGATCATCTGTTCCCGGTTCTTGTGGTCGTTACTCAGTCCCAGAGCTCCCTCACCATCGCTGGCTCCCACCACATCCACCTCTTCACGCTGCTTTTTACGACTCTGCAAAAAAAGAGAGGCAACAATGCAGCATGTTCTGCACACAGAAGATTCCCAAATCTACCCCCTAGTTTCCTATGTTCACATATATTGAACTTCTTAGTTTAAATTAAGTAAATTTAAATTATGCACCCCAGAGAGCCTTGCACTCAGCAGATCAGTATCTGCTTTTTCTGCCCTGGCCCCGATCTGGTGGAACGTGTAGGACCTATTACAGTTCTGCCAGGCCTTTGAGTGAGGCAGCAAGAATCCAATTATTCCATCTATTGGCCTCCCCTGCTGAAACCTTCCATCTTCAAACAGCCCATCAGGTGAAGACCCATAGTTTGGTCTATGGTCTAGCAGCTCCAGTTCTGTGGCTACTATATTAAAGCGCTGTTGCCATCTGTTTTGTTTATAGTTCAGTTTAAATCTGCTTTGATTTTTTATAATGGATGATTTTTATGAGGTGTTTTAATTCTTACTGTGAAATGTTTTAACTTTTGTTGTCATCCACTCTGAACCTATTTGCAGGGAGGGTGGAATATAAGGCAAAACAATTAATTCCAAATGGGCAGACACATTAGTCTTTAGCAGGAAAATAAAAGCCTTGAGTAGGTCCCTGGGAGAAGCAGCAAAACATTTTTCTGTACAAAGAAAGACAGGAGTCAAGTGGCACCTTAAAGGCCAACAAAATTTATTCCAGCAGCAGCTTCCTGTTTTATTTGGTTCATGCAACAGATAGGCTGTGGCTCATTAGCAGAGTCACCTCTGCATGCAAAAAGACTCACGCTAGTCTCCTTAGGCGCTTTGCACACACTTGAGAGCACTCTCTCCACACAACTCACATTAGGACTACTAACTGACTTGAGAAAAAGTGCCATGCCCCTTTAGTACAAGCTTAGGTAAAGGTTCCCTTGCTCGAAAGCCAGTCGAGTTCGACTCTAGGGTTGCGGTGCTCATCTCCGTTTCAAAGCCGAAGAGCCAGCGCTGTCCGAAGACGTTTCCGTGGCCATGTGGCCGGCATGACTAAACACCAAGGCGCACGGAACGCTGTTACCTTCCCACCGAAGTGGTACCTATTTATCTACTTGCAACGTCTTGCTTTCGAACTGCTAGGTTGGCAAGAGCTGGAACTAGAGACGGGAGCTCACTCCGTCATGCGGCAACTCGGGTCTCGAACTGCTGAACTACCGACCTTCCACAGCCTGCAGTTCAGCGTCTTAACCACTTGAGCCACCGCAGCTCCCTTAGTACAAGCTTAACAGGGTATTATTTGCCTTCTCATGAAAACCTCCCAATTTCCACTTATTAAACCTCTGTTGGCAATTCTAGCACACGTTTAGCCACAACGTCTCTTACCTCGAGCTCCTTCCTGGCGCCCTCGAATTCGTCGATGTCATCCAACTTCAGCTCAAGACGCGTCGGCTTCCGCCGCAGCATCCTGAGAGCGGCTCAAAACAACCCACGACGGAACCACGGCCGTCTCCCACTGAGCTACTCGCCTCCGGGGCCTCTGAGCATCCCGTAATCTCCACGCTGCCAGACACCCGGAAGTGCTTGTGAGGAACGGCTCGCAGTGTGGCCACAGACAGAGCGGGCCAAAACAAGCCTAGAGCGGCGCGCCTCTAGGACTGAATGGGCGTTCCATCGTTGCTAAGGGAAGCGTCTGATCCGGAGACCCGGAAGTGCTTTGCCCGGCGGTGTTCAGATGGTCTTTTCGGGCTAAGAGAAGCGTTAAGGGAGCGTGATGGCGGCGTCAAGGCTCACCGCAGCGAGCAAATCTGTGTCTGCGAGGAAGTTTCCAACTCTCCCTGAACGAGAAACTGTATGTTTAATTCTTTTACTACATACGTAGAATGGAAAGAGGATAGATAAGGAAAAGTTGAGTTAATCGTGGACACTAGCGGGGCAAAAATATATGCCCCGGGCCCGGAGATTAAACCAGGGTGGACTACCGCGGCATCCTTGTTGTTGTTGTTCAGTCGCACAGTCGAGTCCGACTCTTTGCGACCCCATGGACCAGCTCCCGCCAGGCCTTCCTGTCTTCCGCTGTCCTCTGAAGTTGGCTCAATTTCATGTTCGTTGCGTCGATGACACTGTCCAACCATCTCATCCTTTGCCGTCCCCGTCTTCTTTGACCTTCAATCTTTCCCAGCATCAGGGTCTTCTCCAGTGAGTGCTCCCTTCTCATTTGGTGGCCAAAGTATTTGAGCTTCAGTTTCATTATCTGGCCTTCCAGGGAACAGTCAGGGTTGATTTCTTTTAGGATTGACTGATTTGATCTTTTTGCAGTCCAAGGGACTCTCAAGAGTCTTCTCCAGCACCATAGTTCAAAAGAATCTATTCTTCGGCGCTCGGCCTTCCTTATAGTCCAACTCTCACAGCCATACATGACTACTGGGAATACCATTGCTTTGACCATGCGGACTTTTGTTGGCAGGGTGATGTCTCTACTTTTTATCATGCTGTTTAGGTTCGCCATCGCTTTCCTCCCAAGGAGCAGGCGTCTTTTAATTTCATGGCTGCAGTCACAGTCTGCGGTGATCTGGGATCCCAGGAACGTGAAGTCTGTCACTACTTCCACGACTTCCCCTTCTATTTGCCAAGGAGTGATGGGGCCGGATGCCATGATCTTAGTTTTTTTGATGTTGAGCTTCAAGCCCACTTTTGCGCTCTCCTCTTTTACTCTGAGCAAGAGGCTCTTTAGATCCTTTTCACTTTCAGCCATTAGAGTGGTATCATCTGCATATCTGAGGTTGTTGATCTTTTCCCCAGCAATCTTAATTCCCGCTTGTGATTCATCCAGGCCAGCATTTCGCATGATGTACTCTGCATATATATTAAATAAGCAAGGTGACAGTATACATCCTTGTCGTACTCCTTTTCCTATGCTGAACCAATCAGTTGTTCCGTATCCGGTTCTAACTGTCGCTTCTTGGCCCTTATACAGGTTTCTCAAGAGACATGTGAGGTGGTCTGGTACTCCCATCTCTTTAAGGACCTGCCATAGTTTGTTGTGATCCACACAGTCAAAGGCTTTAGCATAGTCAATGAAGCAGAAGTAGATATTTTTCTGGTACTCTCTTGCTTTCTCCATAATCCAGCGAATGTTGGCAATATGATCTCTCGTTCCTCTACCTCTTCGAAACCCAGCTTGTACTTCTGGCAGTTCTCTATCCATGTACTGTTGAAGCCTAGCTTGTAGGATCTTGAGCATGACCTTGCTAGCGTGTGATATGAGTGCAATTGTGCGATAGTTTGAACATTCCTTGGCATTGCCCTTCTTTGGGATTGGAATGTATACTGATCTTTTCCAATCCTGTGGCCACTGTTGCGTTTTCCAAATTTGCTGGCAAATGGAGTGCAGAACTTTAACAGCATCATCTTCTAAGACTTTGAATAGCTCAGCTGGGATACCATCACCTCCACTAGCTTTGTTGTTAGTAATGCTTTCTAAGGCCCATTTAACTTCACATTCCAGGATGTCTGGCTCGAGGTCAGTGATTATACCGTCGTGGTTGTCAAGGACATCGAGGTCTTTCTTGTATAGTTCTTCTGTGTATTCTTGCCATCTTTTCCTAATCTCTTCTGCTTCTGTTAGGTCCCTACCGTTTTTGTCCTTTATCATGGCCAGCTTTGCATGGAACGCTCCCTTGATTTCTCCAATTTTCTTGAAGAGATCTCTAGTCCTTCCCATTCTATTGTTTTCTTCTATTACTTTGCACTGTTCATTCAGGAAGGCCTCCTTATCTCTCCTTGCTGTTCTCTGGAAATCTGCATTCAGTTGGGTAAATCTTTCCTTTTCGCCTTTGCCTTTCGCTTTCCTTCTTTCCTCTGCTATTTGTAAAGCCTCATCAGACAGCCACTTTGCTTTCTTGCATTTCTTTTTCTTTGGGATGGTGGTGATTGCTGCCTCCTGTACAATGTCACGAACCTCCGTCCATAGTTCTTCAGGTACTCTATCTATCAAATCTAGACCCTTGAATCTATTCTTCACCTCTACTGTATATTCATCAGGGATGCGATCTAGGTCAAACCTGAATGGCCTCGTGGTTTTCCCAATTTTCTTCAGTTTAAGTCTGAATTTTGCAATGAGTAGCTCATGATCTGAACCACAGTCAGCCCCAGGTCTTGTTTTTACTGACTGGATAGAGCTTCTCCATCTTTGACTGCAAATTACATAGTCAATCTGATTTCGGTGTTGCCCATCTGGTGATGTCCATGTGTAGAGTCGCCTCTTAGGTTGTTGGAAAAGGGTGTTCGCTATGACCAGTGTGTTCTCTTGACAAAACTCTGTTAACCTTTCCATCCTTACCATCAGGCAAAAGGGATGGGTTTTTTTTCTATTTTTCAAAGCAAAGCACGAGGCAGAGAAGAGAGAATTCCTTTCTCCCGTGTATAGTTCATCTTGTGGTAACACCATTCGAGAAGGTGGGTGGGTAAACCATGTTCACTCTTGTGCCTGTGCTGAGAGGGGTTTTCCCCCCCCCCTGCAGGGTGCAAAAAGTAAGGCTTCAGATGAGAGTGATGCACCTCCTGCCAAGAAGGCCCCTATTTTTTATGGAAGCCTGGAGGAGAAGGAACGAGATCGACTCTCCAAGGGGGAGTCAGGGATGCTGAGCAGGGATGCGGTCAAAGCTGCAATTGAGGCTGGCAATATCAACATCACAACTGGTAAGAAGTGGCCATGAGCCATATGTGCACCTGGATGTGAAAGTGTGAGATGTGAATGCTGCCACTGGTTCAGAAGAAAGGCTGCTGTCTAATGTGGAGGCATTATTAACAGATGTGCGTTTTATGCCCTGACCTGGGTGCCCCTGGCTAGCCTGATTTTGGAAGTTAAGCAGGGTTGGCCTTGGTTAGTATTTGGGTGGGAGACCACCAAGGAAGTCTAGAGTTGCTATGCAGAGGCAGGCAATGACAAACCACCTCTGAACATGTCTCGCCTTGAAAATTGTAAGGGGTCCCCATAAGTTGGCTGCAACTTTTCAGAACTACCACTGCATTTTATAAACTAAGAAAATAGAGCCTTGCCCCAAGGAGATTCCAGTTCAACATTTGAAGTAATTGGAGGTAGGGAGAAACAGGAAGAATCTATATTCATTTCTGTTACCTGTGCTTAGGTTTAATGAGTGGAGGAGGTGAAGGGTTGTGCCAAAGCCTTTGTAGAATTGGTGGGTTTTGAGGAGGGATTTGAAGAAAGTGAGAAGTGTATCATAATGCAAATGTATCAGGAAGATAACAAGTGACCAAGAAAACTCAAGAGGCTTATCATTTAAATGTGCTGGGGGGAGTGCAACAAAGCAAGGAAGGATGGTTAAGGTGTAAATATATGCCAGTGCTGAGAGTAGCAGAAGTGACCAGTGTTCCCTCTAAGCTGAGTTGGTGTGAGCCAGCTCACAGTTTTCTAGTCTCCGGCTCACACATTTTTGTCTTAGCGCAGGAAGGGATGGCTCCAGAGCAGACTAATTTATGCAGCAGCCAAATCACTTGCTCAGAACTTTTATTGCCAATAGCTCACAATGTAGAATTTTTGCTCACAAGACCCCACAGCTTAGAGGGAGCATTGCCAGTGACTCATGAAAGTTCCTGCCTTGCCACATGCTTTGTTAGTCTTTAATGTGCTACTGGACTCTTGCTCTTTTCTGTAGTTACGCCTTAGTTTTAGTTGCAGATAAGGACTAAGATTAAAGCAAAGGCTTCCCCAAAAAGCTGTTTGTTGTTGGGGTCTGAAGAAAAGAGGGCAAGAGTGCCACATTTGCTGCTTATGGCTTGATGGAAACAAAGCAAGTTGAACCTAGCCACTTATTCCGAGAGAGCCAGGTTTGTAGGGGACATCTTAGAAGGAGAAGTGCTTTCTGGCCCTGACTCAGTGGCAGTCTGATCTAACATCATGGGTTTGTTCTGGGGCCAGGTGAAGTCTTTGACCTGGAAGATCATATGAGCGAGCGCCAGGCAGAAGTGCTGGCAGAGTTTGAACGCCGGAAACGAGCCAGACAAATCAACGTTTCCACGGATGACTCTGAAGTCAAGGCCTGCCTGCGAGCTCTGGGGGAGCCCATCACGCTTTTTGGTGAAGGCCCCGCAGAGAGGAGAGAAAGGTGAGGGAAACTGTGGAGGAATGTCACCCATGCTCTGTGTTTTTCTTACAGAGCTGGCTTGAATCTAACCAGAGTTAGCTGAACTGTTAATGCTTTTCTACTCAGGTTACGTAATATTCTCTCAGTGGTTGGCACAGATGCCTTGAAGAAGACCAAGAAAGATGATGAAAAATCTAAGAAATCAAAAGAAGAGGTAATAAATGTAAAGCAAGTTATGAAGTAACCTCTGGGAAAGCCTTTTAGTGCCCTTCGGAGTTCTTTCTTTTTCCTGGACATCCTATATGGTTCAATTAGGACTGCAGTTTTCAGTCTGCTAGGCCAGTGGGGTTATAGAACATCTTCTGAGTCACAAGCTCCAGAAGAACCTGCAGACATGCACGGATAGAAAGCAGAGCACCTTCTTACCTTTGCATGCATGCTTAGAGTAACAGCTAGACTGCAAGTC